AGGGGTGAGAGATGCACTAATCTCTAGGTATAAAGATAAGAACTCAAAGGGCATTTAGCAGAATCACAGTAATGGGTTCTCTTCTGTAGCCTATGATCTATACGTCCTGTGACTCGGGTATGTGGTGTCTTCAGTAATGGGGAATTACCATCAAGTTCTGGAAGGTAACCAAGAGTAACAGCAATAGCCTTTAATGGATAGGAGGAGCAAGTTTGTCAAACCCTACTGACCAATAACTTGAAAAGAGGCATTCCAAATCTGATACTGGGATTCTTATTTAATAGTTGTATTAACTAACTTTCTATTGCTGTGATAAAATACCATAACCAAGGCAACTTAATGGAGGAAAGAATTTACTTCTTATGGTTTCAGAGGAATAAGCGTCCATCATGGCAGGAAGGCATGGCACCAGCAGCAGGAAGCTAAGAGATCATATCTTTAACCGCAAAGATGAAGGAGAGCAAGAACTGGAAGTGAGCTGAGGCTACCCCCAAGTGATGTACTTCCTCCAGCAAGTCTGTACCACCTCCTCAAACAGCTCCACCAACTGGGGACCAAGGATTCACACACCTGAACCTATAGAGAACATCTCTCATTCAAACCATTATAATAACCTGTCTTGTCTGGGGTCAGCATTGTTCGCTCATTAAACGGCAGCTCCAATTTAACCCACAGAAGGCAGGAAACTAGTAAGACATCATCAGAGGTACATTAAAGAGTGAAGGAGAAGAACTAGGAAAAGTTAAAGGGGGTATGGGTGGGAAGGTAGGATAGAGGAGGGATAGTAACTAACAGTAATGTAGAAACCACCTAAAATGTGTGTGCCTTGTGTGTGTGTAAGTGTGTGTGTGTGTATGTATGTGTGTGTGTGTGTGTGCATGATGGACATATCATTCACACACTTTACAACTTGACTTTTATTTTATTTTTTTGTTGCTAAACTCTGATTTTTTACTTTTCATTACGGTATCACACAAATATCTTTGTGTATAGCTTGTTCTTATGCAGCTGCATATATTAATAGGTTACTTTCCCAGAAATGGAGTTGCTGGGAAGATATGTTCATGAAAACTCTTAAATTATATTTTTATCACAAATGGCATATGCAACAAATATGTAAGCCACAAAGCACAGTGTTTCACAGTGAATACCCACGGTCTTTACATCTTTAAAGACCCAGAAACAATGGAAATGATGGGGAAACGGCTTAGCACTCATTCCTTAGGAATGAATGCAACAGTGGGAGGAAATGATTTTCGTAAAATTCTCTTGTGAGATGTAGCCTTTGTAGAAAGGAAACTGTGAAAGAAACAAGAAGAGGTCTGAAGGACAGGGGTGACTATAGTGTGATTTAACGTGTGACATGAAAGTGGGAGAGACTTCGGGGGAAGAGACATAAATATTACAACAAAATACAATAACAGATGTGTATGAACATTTCACAACGAGCCAGGCGGTGGTGCTGCACACGTTTAATCCCAGCGCTCTGGAGGCAGGACAAGGCGGATCTCTGTGAGTTCGAGGCCAGCCTGGTCTACAGAGTGAGTTCCAGGACAGGCTCCAAAGCTACACATAGAAACCCTGTTTCGAAAAACAAAACAAACAAACAAAAGACTAAGAAGAAAAGAAAAATCACATTTAATCAATTAAAATTAACAATACCCAGCCTGTAAGATAGCCTATTTTGGAACTGCATTATATTTCTAGACGAATCACTATCATAAGCTACATTTTAAATAACTCATGGACACTTGTGGCCTCTTGGAGCCATTTTCAGTGGCTTTTGTGATTACTAAAATAAGTCAGGACTGGGGATTTCACTCAGAGGTAGAGAACCTGCCCAGTTTGCACAAGGCCTTACTTAGCTCGACCCGCAGCATAAGAAATAAGTGATAAAAAATGGCTGAGAAGGGATAAATAGCACAAGCCTTACAAGCAGTGAGTGATCCAGTCCAGGCTTGAGGGCGCTGGGTATGGGGAAGAAAATGGCTGAGGCTGAATGACCATAAAGTATTTCTGAATCGCACTAGATCCGTGAACACCCCATCTTAGTTACTTCTCTTGTTTCTGTAACTGAGTAGCTGACAAGAAACAACTTCTGTGAGAATAAATGAGAGGGTTTATCTTAACTACGGCTTGTGGGTATAATCTCTCATTGTGGGGAAGTCACAACATCTGGATCAAGAGGGCCACTGCTTGCTCACATCTGGGTGGAATCAGAGGAAAAGGAAGAGGAAAGGGAATGCCCTGTCTTGGTCCTTTTTCCCTTTTATTGGGTCTGAGTCCCAAACCATGAGATGACATCATCCATATTCAGGGTGAATCTCTCAAGTTATTCCTTCTTGGAAATGCCCCTATAGACTTGCCATGGGGCTAATCTCCTGCATAATTTTAAATCCAGTCCAGCTGACATCAAACGTTAGCCATCAATGTGACTACCTGAACACCTGAATAATGGCTATTATGTCAAGCCCTCTCTATTGGAGTCCTAAGAATAGTGTTTGATGGAAAACTTACAGAATATATTAAAATAAAATTTTGCCTTAGAGAGAAAAATAGGAAAAAATGATTTATTCTTTATCAACAATAGATATATTGAGAATGGAGGCAAACCCAGGGCTCAGAGACTGTACAAAATCTGTGCATCAATTTAATGTTAAGATAATCCCTTATTAGGACTCAGTTGTCACCAGTCACAAAAAGCTTATTCTCATAAAATGTTCTTTGGGCCATCTGTATCCTCCCTTTAGTTTTGGTTGATACCCTGGCAATTATTCCGTTTTTAACCTTCACCAAACAAGTGCAAGTATGTGATGAAAAACCATTGAATTTCTGGACCTCTTATAAACACAGAAATTAATTCACTGATGTGAGTGTGTATATATGATTAAGCAAATTTAACTGAGTAAATTATCTAATTAACAATTATGTTAGACATAGCTGAACAAAACAGAGCTGTGTGTGTGTGTGTGTGTGTGTGTGTGTGTGTGTGTGTGTGTGCATGGTCGTGCACGCGTGCGCACGCGTGCGCACAGAGGTGGGAAGGGTATTGTGCATGTGTGTATTTAATTTCTCAGTGCTGGTAAAATTCACATAACTTATATGAAAGATCAGAAGTAAGCTGGGCCTGGTGGCATGAACCTGTAATCCTTACTCAAGAAGCTGGGGGCAAAAGGATCACAAGTTCAAACCCTTGCCTGGGCTACCGAGTGAATATAGTAGCATCTTGCCTTGCCAGTGAACTTGTAGTAGTGGCCACACACTTTGGACGTGGTTTCAGGTGCAGAGGTGGCCCATTAAGGAAGAGGAGGGGCTGGCTGGCACTCTCCTGGGTTCAGTCCTGACAAACACACACATGCATGCAAGCATGCCATGCTATGTTGGAAGGCCGTGCTCATCCCATAAACAGAGGCAGGGGTGGGGTGTGTCTCATAGTAGAGCCCTCAGTCAGCTAGCACCAAACTGTGCATTCAGTTTGGGGGAGTCCTGAAAACCAGCAAGCCAAGTGTGATCAAGTCCCTGGCTCTGCCTTTTCCTGTCTGTGAGCCCCTCCAGGTCAGCTCCCTCGTGTGCAAAATGACAGTTTCATTCTCAAGCTCACAGCCTGGAAACTGAGAGTAAAACTCCAGGAGGTGTTTGAGCACATAAATCATTACACATCTCACGTAACTAATCTCTAGAGAACTATAGATCCAATCCATGTGATATCAAGAAAAATTGTGAACAAATTCTCTTATTTATGTATTTCTGTGTTGAGGAAGGAGATGACAGTACTAGAGAGTCTGAGAAACCAGAATATACATAGGGCTCCTCTTAAAGAATTCCATTTTCATAAATATTTTGAAGAAAGAAAATATAAACATAAATCAATAAAGTAAAAAGTTGCATGAAATTTTAGTTTAAAGCATGCCACTGGAGAAAGGTCTACCCTTGGTGGCTTCTTTGCCCAACCTCCTGACCCTTATTTATTTATATGCCACAAGGGGCATTTGATGGAAAACTTTCTTAGCTGCTTAATTAAGCACAGATCATTTTTTTACTAATGAGAACAAAAACTAACTTCGAGTGGGGTTTCACATGTGTTCTGCCATCTGTGTGCTCCCATACACCCTCAGGAGCGTGCAGTTAACCAGAAGGAAGGACTGTGGAGACTGTGGTTAACTGGAGAAGCTGAATGTTATCACTCAAAGCCTGTACAGTGACATCTGTGATAATGCACCACTAACTCACACTTCCTCTTCCGCTTTTCTTTTGGTTTTGGTAAAGACCTTCTGTCCCCTAGGCAAACAGGAGTCAAACTAGGCCAAATGGCCTCCCTGCCCACTACCTCCAAGGATAGAACTCTTGAAGGTAGGTAAGCAGACTCTGGAAGTACTAGAGGTGCTTTATTATCCAGAGAGGAGAGCCCTGGAGAAGCCAAGGATGTCTCCATTGCATACTTCTGTGTGAATCCCTTAAGTAGGGCAGGTCTCTAGCTCCTGTATTTGAACCTCAAATGGCTCCTGAAATCCCCAGTTACCCCACCCCACCCCACCCATCTCACCACTGAAATGATGGAACTTTGAAGTAGAGGAAACTAGTTAGAGGAAGTTAGGCTACTGGGTTAGTTGAAAGCCATGTCCAGTTGGGTGGCTCCCTCTCCTTCCTGGTTGCTGTGAGATGATCAAGGCCTCTGTTACATGCTCATACCACACAACCATGCACTGCTGCCTCAGAAACCATGAACCAAAATAAACACTTCCTGCTGATTACCTGCCTACCTTCTAGGTATTTCATTCTCCTGAAAGGAAGGTAACATGCTGCTCTCGTCAGACTCCTCAGCCTTTCTGCTGATTCTGTGAATCACTGTAAATTGTTCTAGTAAGTTCTGTCACATTTGGTCACTCTGTTCTTGTTGCCTATAGTTGAAATGTGCAGCGTAGGCCATTCACAGCAGCTTTGTATAAAAATGTCAATTATTTGGTAAAACGAAATACTCTATTCATGGGAAGGTGATTAAAGATAATTTTATTTGACATTATTTGTCTAGGTTGCAGACTATAACACAAATTGTTTCAAAATGGGAAACACATCTATTGCTTCTTTCCTCCTGCATTTAAACTAATGTTAACCCTTATTTCATCTTCAAAAATAACAAAGGCCACTTACAAAGGTGGCTTGCATATCTAAATGATAGCGTATTTCTGCTTAAGAGTGAACATTAAAAGTCATTTCTAAACTGAAAGCAAAGCTCATCTCTAATCTATTTCATAATCATCGTCATCATCGTCCATGCTGAGTCTGATGCTGGAAGAGTCTTCCAGCTTCGATTTCTTCTTGCTCTCTTTGCTTTTCTCATTCTGGTGTAAGTGATGCTCGCACTGTCTTACGATCTTCTTGGAAGACATCCAGCTCTCCCCTTGTCGCTCGGCTGGGGCTGCACACTGTCCTCCTTTCACATCCGTACCCTTGGCCTTCAGGACTTCCCTGGCTCGTAGGACACTGCAGGTGCAGTTCCAGGGGTTTCCATCCAGGTACAGGTGCCTGAGGCGAGGCAGCCCCTCCAGTGCCTTGAGATCTAAGGCTGAGATCTTGTTGTTCCTCAAGTTGAGAACCTGAAGCAGTTTGAGGTCCCTGAGCTCCCTCTCAGACATGTTCTGGATGGCATTGCCCTTGAGGTCCAGCCTGGCCAGGGTCTTGGGAAGCCTGCAAAGTAAAGAAACATCATGAGAGAGGAGGCTGCTACCATCAACCATCGCCCAAGGCAACAGGCAGCAGAGGCTTCTCTGTGCAGCTCCAACCCTTCTCAAGGTGGGAAATGAGTGCATGTTTTGATGTATGAAATTACAAAATGATTTGCTTTTAAACTTTAAAATGTTCCTCTCCCAAAGATACACTAAAAGCTGTTGAGGAACTCATCAGTTGGTCCCATTTCAGAAACAATGTAATGAAATGTAGCAAGTTTAAATAATGCTATGACTCCAGCCAGGAAATAATATGAAAAAATGAATCAGATTTATTTTCAAGTGTTTGTAGCATAATGAATTGTAATAGCAAAAAACAATAAAACCCTAATGTCCAGTATTTTAAAAATTATACAATAATGAGCTATTATGTGATTATAAAATATTATCAAAAATTTAAAATACTAATTCTATTTAAAAAACTTCTATGACTCAAATATCTAGACACTATTAAAAACTGATAAATCAATAAACTTAAAAAAATTTGTATCACAAAAGTCAAAAGACAAAAGAAGAGGAACTCTCTGTAGCTATGCCACACAGCAATCACACAGTAGACGTAGGAGACATCTTAAAGCTGAGACAGGATGATTTGAAAACAACAGGAGGGACTACAGAGATGGCTCAGAACTTAAGAGCACTGACTCCTCTTCCCAGCAATCACATGGTGGCTCACAACCATCTGTAATGAGATCTGGTGCCCTCTTCTGGAGTGCAGGCAGAAAAAAATAAAGAAGAAGAAGAGGAGGAGGAGAAGGAGGAGGAGGAGGAGGAGGAGGAGGAGGAGGAGGAGGAGGAGGAGGAGGAGGAGGATGAGAAGGAGAAGGAGAAGGAGAAGAAAATGGAAAGTGGGCTGGAAAGAGTGAGTAGAAACTCAATGCTCAAATTGTCTTCTATACATTTTAAATATTAATGTCTCTTTAGGGAAAAACCACTTTTTGATGTTTTGTACTGGGTACAGATATCACACTACACAATAAAAAGTTCCTTTCCAGCTCAGAAAAGAAATCTGTACATATTAAAGATAAGTCTTCTTTTCCTGACTTTCTCTGTAAATAACAATGAACTAGGTAAAATGGGTGTCATGGGAGTATATGGAAACCAGAACTGTTTTATTAATTGTAAGAAACTTGATAAAGATAGTGGGCAGGACAAGAAGGCCTTTTATTTAATGAAGTGTTGAAAATATTTTAAAATTTTTAAATAGATATAATAAGCAACATGCTATGTCTTAAAAGTAAATAATGGGGAGGTACAAGCAAGATGGCTTAGCTAATAAAGGCCCCTGCTGTCAAGACTGACAACTTAAATTCAATCTCCCGGACTCACATGATGGAAAGAGAAAACAAACTCTGCCAAGTTGTTCTCTGCCCTCGAAACATGAGCCTTGACACATGCTCCACACAAACACAAGGACATATGTAAATTTAGGACTAGACTATTGAGAAGTTAAGGGGATGAGTGAGTAGTTAAGGGGATAGGTGTATGGTTAAGGGGATGGGTGAGTAGTCAAGAGGGATGGGTGAGTAGTTAAGGGGATGGGTGAGTAGTTAAGGGGATGGGTGAGTAGTAAAGGGGATGAGTGAGTAGTTAAGGGGATGGGCATGTGATTAAGGGCATGGGTGAGTAGTTAAGGAAACAGTTGAAGTGAATTGTGTATGGAGGGAAGAGTTAAAGAGAGGGGGAAAGAATGGGGAGGAAGAGAGGGAGGGAGGGAGAGGAGGAGCTAGAAGGAGCTAGAAGGAGAGGAAAAGAAAAAGAAGAAAGCTGAAAACCAAGGTTGATGGACTCCCCCACTCATAAGACACAAATGGATATGCAGAGACTGCTTCAGCCAAGAATGTAAGGCTCCCCAATAAGTAATTACAGATTTTAATTTTTTCCACATAAGTGCTATTTTGATGCTTTTTAAACTAAAAATATTCCCCATCCATGTTTCCTGGTGTTCTTGCTAGTGGTACCCATGCCAATTCAGTCAGTCAGTTATACATTCCACATACTTAGAAATGAAGACATACTTTTTACAGTATATTCATGTTGTCTTTGTCAGTGTTGCTATCACCTATATGTATTGTTCCATCAGCAAAATTAATTCCCTATGGATTTGGTTTGCAGGCTGGGGATTCTCAACTTCTGTCGGAAACATCTATCCTAACCCCTAGTTTTGTTTTATGACTGATGATTCTGCTTGGGCAACTGATGTGTCCTAGTGCCTGAAGACTGCTTCTGGAATCTACAGTAAATGACGTGTTCACTCACCTCAGAGGTATGGACAATAGAAGATTCTGCTCCAGGGCCAGGTTGGACAGCTGAGAGCACCTCTGAAGGGCTCCAGCCTCAAACACGCTGACAACATTGTTGTCTAGGAACAGGTGTTTCAGGTCTCGGAGGTCCTGGAACTCTGGTGCTGTCACTTTCTGAATGAAGTTACTGCTACAGTCGAGTTTCTGCAACCTTGCTGGTAGCCTGGGAGGCAATGTCTGAAGCCGGTTTTGGGAGACCTCAAGCGTAGTTAAATTGGTAAGCAGCTGCACCCCGTCAATGGAAGACAGGAAGTTCTCTGACAGGTAAAGACGGGACAGGTTCTCCAAGTGTCTCACATCTCGAAACCTAATGACTTTGAGCTGGTTTCTCTCCATCTTTAAAGATAGCAAGGATTTGGGTAGATTTGTAGGAATTTTAGTCAGAAAGTTACCACTGAAACTGAGAAATTGCAAATTCTGCAGAGAAGTGAAGACATTCCCTGGTATAAGATGGAGTTTGTTGTTCTCCATGCTCATGTGCTTCAGATGTGGAAGGCTCAGTGGTCCAGCTATAGACTCTATATTGTTTCCATCCACCATCAAACTTCGCAAACTGATGAGTGAGGGGAGCATGCTGGGAGACAGGGAAGAAATCAAGTTGTTTTTAAGTTCAAGGACTTTTAATTTTTTCAGTCCTTCAAAATCCGATGCATGTAGAGCGCATATCGAATTATCATTTAATTTTAACACTTCGAGGTTGGCTGGGAGAGCACTGGGGACTCGTCTCAATTTATTTTTCCAAAATTCTAGGGTCCTTAAAGTACTCAAAGTTTTGAATGTGTCATTTTCTACAGACTCTGTTCCACTGGCCAGCAGAATAAAATCTTCTAGAGCCAACAGCCCAGTGAAGTTAGACAGCTACGAAACAGCAACAACAACAACAGTAATAGTTATGATGATAACAGAAGAGAATGGACAAGAAAATGGAGAGATAGATTAAAATTCTGACCAAAAAATGTACACTTTATCATTGCAATACCATTGATATTTTAGACTTCCCTTTTAGTTCCCTTTTAAATTATCTTTTAGAATAATAACTTAAAATCAAGTCTAGATGCGTTTTTAACTTCTTTGGAATATCAGACACATTTATAATGTGTGTAGATCATCATCATGGCTACTGCTCCTGCCTTCCAGCTCTCCCTGGGATCCCCTCCACATCTTCCTCCCAACTTAAGTCTTGAGAAACCTGCCTAATACAGCTCCCATTAGTGTAAGACATTAGAAACACTCTTTCATACACTATTGGTAGATATATGATATTGGTCAACTCCTATTACATTCTTTTTTATGACCCAGGAAATTCTTTTCTAGGCAGCAGTACTTAAAAATTGCACAATGCTTCATGTCCTAGTGTGTCCTTTTGTTGCATTACAATAGCCAGAAGTTAAACAATCTACAAAACCCAACTGTAAAAAGTTTCCTACAATAAAAACTAAGACTACAAGAGGAAAAACATGAAAAGCAAAAACGTGAATGTCACAGATTATTCTGTCATTGGGACATTACTCAGAACATTTTCAGTTATATTTAATTTGGCAAATAAGCCTAACTACTTTCTAGCTCCTATTTATACTTCACCAATGAGAAAGATTCCCAAAGAGACAGAGGTATGTATACGTGTGTCCTTGCAGTACCCATTGGTTTTGAGGTATATATTGCTGCTGGTGTTCAGCCCTTTCTCAATGACGCATCAGCTATATTGATTAGTCCTGATCCTCACAGCAAGTGTTTCCCTGCACTTGCTCAGTATTTACTGCTGCTGTGCACTTGCTCAAATATTCCGACAACCTCCCAACAGCATTTCAAGTTTGCCAAAGTTAGTGTCGACATGAGAAAACTAGGAAGTAGTAAATGAGAAGATCAATAAGGTCTACGGACTCCAAAGCCTACCCTTCCTCAGCCACACCATTTTTACTGTGTTTGGCTTATAATCATGGCATTTCAAAAGGAACTCCAGATCTGGACACAAATCCACATAGTTTTAGGAAAAATGGGTATTCTTTTTTTTTTTTTTTTTGGTTTTACGAGACAGGGTTTCTCTGTATTGTTTTGGAGGCTGTTGGTCCAGGCCAGCCTCGAACTCACAGAGATCCGCCTGCCTCTGCCTCCCGAGTGCTGGGATTAAAGGCGTGCGCCACCAACGCCCGGCTGGAAAAATGGGTATTCTATAAATATCTTGTCCAAGTCTCCCGTTTCAATGGTGTGATTCAGTTCCCCTCCTCCAAAAGTAGCTAGCCTTCCTGTTCCATTTGCATGCTGCACTCTGGAATGACCTTTCCTATGTCTTTATCTTTTATGTAAAGACCTTCACTTTCTGATCTGTTGTATCCTCCACTTATCCTCCGTGACTGACCACAAACCCTGACAACCTGTAAGAGTCATCTGCATGGATCCAAATGGGTGATTCATTTGGGAATTGGACAAAGCATGTCATCCAAGTTTCAATTTGCCTTCACTTCTACTTAAGATGTTATAGAGAGCGGCCTGGATAATAATATAGTAGCTAGCTTTTTTCCTTTATCAAGCATGGAACATATTTTCTTACTGTTTTTGTCAGAGTCAGCATGGATTAATTTTAACAGCATGGCTATTAACTAAAATAGCCACCATTTTCTTAAGATTTACTGTTTAATTTTTTAAAAGTACGATTATTGACTCTTCAAAGAGGACAGCCAAGGCTTAAGAAACTGAAATTGCTGGGCTACGGTGGCACATGCCTTTAATTCCAGCACTAGGTAGGCAGATCTCTGAGTTCTAGGCCAGTCAGGTCTACAAAGTGAGTTACAGAACAGCCAGAATGAGTTACACAAAGAGCCCCTGTCCCCCCAAAAATAAAAAATAAAATAAAAAGAAGAATAGAAAGACTGAAATTGCTTTCTCAAGCATATGCAGACAACAAGTGGAAAAGTCACCAGCACAGGTTTTGTATTTGAGTTTGTATTTTTGTGAACCTTATGGGCTGTAACACATTTGATTAGAGTATAGAATTCTAGTGATACTACAATGAAGAAGCCATCCTCTGATTTTGAACCCTGGGGACGGGTTTACTGAGCTGACAATGGGAAAATGAATTTGCCAGGCCGGATTTCTCCCTTCCACGACCTCAGCAAGGATGTACTTACAAAAGTGGAAAGAGCTGCATTTGCCCTACAGCCAACTTTGGCATGGCTGGCAGCTTATTCAGATTCTTAGTAAGACAAAGCAAGTGAGACCGTACGGAGGCGGGTTTGCCCCCGCTGCTTTTCCCAGGAGAGGCTTTGCTTCTGGCTTCAGTCTGAGGCAGGCTGTGGACCAACGGTCAGCGTGCCACGCACACTCTCCTTGGACTCTTTATATATCACAAAACTGTCAGTCCCACAAAGAGATGGCTTCTGGCCTGTATGAAGCAACCAGCAAGCAGACTCTTTTCTGATTATGAAAGAGACATTTGTTCCCTATAAATTATCTTAAAGCTCTGAGGAAATGTGGAAAAATAATAAAAATAACCTGTAAATCCCAACGTTAAGTTACCCAGTTGGAAATCGATACAACTTCTCTTCCACACACACAAATAGTAATAGTGACAATAACAATAATGTACGGTAGAATAATTTTAACTGATTACCACAACTATACTTACATCTGACCTCTTCCATAGAAGAAACTATATCACTTGGGCTTTAGAAGTTTGAATGACATTAGTGGGGGGATATAGTTCTGTTTCACAGGTGCGGACACAAAGAACTGACCTGAACCTGCACCTCTCCAAAGAGGACTAAACTTGGTGCCCTGGCAGTGTTCACGTGGTACTTTGGCATCGGATGCTTTTCACGTCTTCCCTTCAGTACAACCTAGCACTACATTGTGACTTAAGAGTAAATATGAGTTAGCGAATAGCAATAGAAAAAGATGGAGACTCAAAGGCGTGAGGATGAACCCTTTCTCGTACCACACATAAAAATTAGCTGGGTGAAGATTGTGGACCCGAATGTGAGAGCTAAAGCTATAAACTCTCAGAGGAAATTATAGGCATAACTATCCATGACCCTGGTGGAGGTGAAGCTTAGATATGAGGCTGGAAGCACAAGGGAAACACAGACACACAAAAGAGAGACCAGACCCATTCCAAGCCAAAAACATCTGTGCATCGAAAGGGTGTTATTTAAAAAAATGAAAATCAGCCCACAGACTGGAAGAAAAACTTTGCAAATACTATCTCTAATAAGAGACCTGCACTCGGATTATCTGAAGCATGCTTACAAGTTGATAATTAAAATACAAGTAACCCCAATTAAAAAATAAGCAATGAATTTGCATTTATACTTCCCCCAAAACAGTATGCAAATGACCAAAAAGCAAATGAAAAAAGTTCAATGATGGGAGCACAAATCTAGTCCCAGCACTTGAGAGGCCGAGACAGGAGGATCTTGTGAACTTGAGACCAGCCTGGTCTACAGAGTGAGTTCCAGGACAGCCTCCAAAGCTACACAGAGAAACCCTGTCTCAAAAAGCCAAAGAAAAAAATCTAAATTGCAAAAAGATACTGCCTGGACCTATTTAGATGGCTCCATCACAAAAGAGCCGATGAAGGCTGGTGAGGATGTGGAGTGGTTGGAAGTGTCAAATTTGCTACAGGAATATAAAATCATGTATCCACTGTGGAAGACAGTGCAACAGCTATTCAACATGCTGGTAGATTCCCCATTTTATAAAAAAAAAATCTGTTCCTATGTAGATACCAAAGAGATCATCTAGGTTCATGCAATGGCTTCTGTTCTGAAACACAAGTATTCATAGCACTGTGCCTCACAATAGACAAGATGAAGAAACAATACAATGTCTGATGACTACTGTAGACCTATCATATATATATATAAAATAAAATCCAGACAGCCTTTAAAAGGAGGGAAATTCTGAAGTAGGTTATAGTATGGATGAACCTTGAGGATATTCTGTTAAGTGAAAGAAGCCAATCATAGAAGACTCTAAGTACAGGGAGAAGGACTAAATTCAGTTTGGGGCATGTTGTTTTGAGATCCTCATTCACATCTAAGTAAAGAATCCCAGTGACAGCTGAATAAATCTGAAATACGGAGAAAGCTCTGTATTAAAGATTCAGGTAGAGGAATCGCCACTGAGATACACTGAGGTCACATAAGGATATTGTTTATAATTAGGACTTGTTGAGAAACTCCAAAAGGAATGAGGGGGAGGAAGAACTGTAGAGAAAAATAAATGAACAAAATGATAAAATGGAGAGGTCTGTATATATGGTTTCACAAAGGGCAAGAGATGGCAAATTTCTGGAAAATGGGAGTATGCAACCAGGATTTAGAATTTTAATTACATGGAATAGGAAAGAGCCACACAGCAGTGAATTAAAGAAGAGGGGACCTGAGAGATGGTTCAGTGGGTGAAGGCATCTGCTGCCAAACCCAAGGACCTGTGTTCAACCCCCAGGACCCACATGGTAGAAGGAGAGAACAAACTCCCACAAGTTGCCTTCTGACTTCTATATGCATAGACACACACATACACACTCACATCCTTAATCCCAGCACTCAGAAGACAGAGACAGGCAGTTCTCTGTGAGTTCGAAGCCAACATGGTCTACAGAGCAAGTTCCAGTACATCCAAGGCTACACAGAGAAGCCCTGTCTCAGAAGAAAAAAAGAAGAGGTGAGGTGAGGAAGTTTGTAGAGTTGGAAAATCAAGGGAGGTGGTAGGGAGAAAAGGACCAAAATTATGAGGACTTCACTGTGTAGTAAGAGGAGCAAGTGTGTGACTTGCAAGTAAGGGAGGAGATAGCTACTGCTGAAGTCAGGGTGGCGAAGACCAGAGCAAGGTCTGGGTAGAGGTGAGAGGAACATAGTATTAGTACACACTGAGCAGGAATGAAGGAAGATGCAATTTTGTCATGATCTGTCAGCAGAATGGACCACCAACACTCTGTTGAGAATGAGGCAGCAGCATTGACTAGGGCACCCAAAACTATACTGGAGTTGTAGAAGATTGGACTGGAGTGTAGGGCAAACCTCAACAAGATGAAGAAAAATCAGGGCTGGAGAGATGACTCAGAGGTTAAGAGCAGTGGCTGCTGTTCCAGAGGACCTGGATTCAATTTCCAGCAGCCACATGGCAGCTCACAATTGTCTGTAACTCCAGTTCCAGGAGATAATGACACCCTCACACAGACAAGCATGCCTGAAAAACATTAATGCACATAAAATTTTAAAAAGAAAAAGGATGAACAAGACACAGATGAGGTTGGAGACCTTGTATTCATGGTGATTCCAAACCATCTGATTACGTGAATATCTCCAGCAGCATCTACTTGTCTAGGTATAGGAGAAACAAAGGAGAATTAACACCCTCTTTTTAGGTTAGGGCCTTTCAGGGAGGGTGTTTAGGTAATTAAATGTGGGACTCTTTCTCTGCAAAGAGAAGCAGCAGAGAAAGGAGGGAGATGGGAAATAAACTGAGTATCTGGGAGAATATGGGTAAATTTAGGACTCCAAGTCTCCATAAGGTAAGAGAGAAGCAAGTGAACAGAGAAGAAGTCAGGATTTTCTGAGTGGAAGTATGGGATATGATTTTCATAGAACCAAGTGACAGGGCTAAGATGGCCGAGGAGCTGGGGAAAGATACATTTGAGAACAAGGAGGCGTGAGAGTGGGGCATTAGACTAGGCATCACACTGAGACTGAAGACTCCCAAGAAGACGCAGGACTTAGGGTGGACGGGGAAGCAGTGAGTTAACAGGGAAGAGACCAGACATGTGGCGTGAAGTGGGCAAAAGGAAATGGAAAAGGAAAAGGGCCGTAAATGTGAACCTCAGAAAAGTGGGGCAAATTTACAGGTAAATCCAATAAGAAAATTCCTCTTATCCTAAGGGCAGATGCAGAATGTCTAGTCCTTTATCCTGAATCTCAAGCATGACATTTACAGTCCCAAACACAGTTAAATTGCATGAACAAATAATAAACCCATTAAATGTTGTTTATATCAGCGCTTTTTTATAATTAAGTTATACAAAATTTGTGTTACTAATAATCTGAGGCTTCACTCAAAGATGGTTTTCTTTACGTATGTGCACCTAATTCTGTTAAGTCCGCACTAAATAAATAGAATATACATTGTATTCACTGTGTAGGGTCACTCGGAGCTCTTTGTTTCCCCAACAAAACAATCTGTCTTTCATCAATCTTTTTGGTGTGACCTGCCCTACCAAGAGAGAACTAACAGAATTAAAGTTGTGGAGATGGCAATACTACTGTTCAAAAAGTCTAAACAGGTGACAGATTGGCTCATTCAATAACAGATTTTGATGAGTCACCAATAGACAACAAAGTAGCAGAATCATTACCAGACTCACAGGCAGCTAAGGTGGCCGAACAAATATTTAAGTGTCTCTCATTTACCCAGCTGCCTTGTTTAAATGCTAAGACCCAGCAGGCAAGGTCAGATTTGCTCTCTGGTATTAGGTACTATTAGAGTAGAAGGGACAGCAAACAGATGCCGACAGTTGTACTTGTTGAGCCTGGACATTAATACCATACCCTTTGTGTTACACTAAGACACTTCAAGGAAAAATTCTCAACCAAATGAAAGTGCATAGGTACCTCTATTTGGAGGGGACAAAGCCTCATCCAAAGTCTCTTAGAGAGAGGCTAGTTCTCTAGTTCTCAGAGAACTATTTCCTTGCCTTGGGGCTTGGACCTCTGAGCCAGAAGCAGTGAATACTAAAGGGAAAATCAGACAGCCATAGACTTTCTATCTAGAAGAGGACTTATCTAATGCAGCCCTCTCACTTCACCAAGAATAAAAAACAAGGCACAGAGATTTTCTAGCAGCTTGTCTGAGATGGTCATGCATCTAATGAGAGATAGCCCTTGTCTCCTGATGCCTTCAGAACACCAAAGATCAAAGATAAATGTCTTTTAACTTATAAAATTCAGATAAATCTGTAGTATTGTAACCAGTGTCCTCTGGATACAGAAACAAGAAAACTCAAGTCATAATTCAAGTCACACCATGATAACTGAAAGTAACTTGACAAAATTAAAACCAAGCATCTCCACGTAGGTTCTCACAAAGACCAGGAACACAGCTGGATGTGAATTTGTATGAGGGAGTCTGATGTGCTGGTTCATCTTGATAGCTTTGTGATGCTCTGTTCTACTACCTCATGAAAACTTTTTCCTCTGAAAGGGCTTGTTCTCCACGCAGTGTGCTCTTTACGAAAGGGCCTATTCTTCATGTGTACTTTGTAAAAGCTTGGTTTTTAAACGTCGGATAAAAATTGAAATAAAATTCTCACTTTCAGGGCAGGGTGTATGTAACTAGCTCCTTAAAAGGAGACACCCAGGCATAGAGCATCTCACTAATGGCTAGCAAGCAGGTAGTACCACAGCTTATCCTGACAATTAGCACTTTCTGAATAAGACAATTCAAGTTTAAAATCCCCACACTCAACCCACACCCTGCCCCAAGAATAAAACTGTAGCGACTTCCATGGACACCGGCATGGTTACCTGAAGGTGCTGGATTCTGCTGTGGCTAATGTAGAGACTCTTGGTGGTGGAAGGAATGCCTGAAGGTACTTCCATGAGCCTGTAGCACTGTACAAACTGCCTGGACTCACAGCTACATCGTCCTGGACAGTCAGCGCTGAGGCCATTGCTAAGAGAGAGCCAAAGAAGACCAGCGCAAAGCAAATGCATCTTCCAACACGGGAGGTTGTGGGTAGCAAGCAACGGTTTTGGTGACACGGTACTCTTTATACCACAGGCTCTGATAACAGGATCTTATGAATGTGTACTCTGTCAGTGTGAGAGGACAGAGGGGGGAGACTCCATTTGCTCCATTTGCCTGGTTAGCAATCATTACAAAGGGGAAGGGCCTAAGCATTGATAAGCTCCCTTAATATCTCTAGGTGAACAAAACCCTGTGTTATTTATGACTTGTGAGTCTAATCTGCAAACACTGCTATTATCTGCAGTTTCCTCGTTTTGTTAAATGTGACACTAAGGAATTAGTGGGAAAAGACAAAGAGCTGGTTTATAGTGGGCCATAAAACCTTTGCATTTTCTGTGACCCTGTATTAAAACCATTTTTTGCAGGACCTAAGCAAGCAGGTGTGTTCTTCTCACATTAATTACTAAGGGGAAACAGGCCTTTTCTCTACTTGTTACTGTTTCGGTGCTGGTTTATTGCTACATGAAACAATGGATTGCAATGTGAAATATTTAGAGCCACAGATAAGGAGCTTGGTTGATCCATCTGTAAATTCACCCAAATACAATGTTCGGGAAAATGTCTTTCTCACTCAAAAATATTAACTCTACTAAAAACAAAACAAAAGATAGGTCTATTATCTTTATCTTCTGGTAATGATGGTACAAAAGACGTCTATTTTCTTCAGAGGGATTTGCTGATTGTGAAATCTTGGAAGGGTGTAGATGGACAGGGCCATGTATCCAGGATGATTCCCTGGGTGACTTCATGTCTTGTCCAGCATGTCGCTGCTGAGGCCTTTGGAAGCGTCTACCAGAGAACTGAACTTTAACATGCTGCTCAGCCACAGCAGAGCAACCCTTTAATGTAGAAAAGCCCCTATTTGAAACCAGTTCCGTCGACCTGATAACCAATTGATCTGATAGCCAGAGTGCCAGTACCATGTGCTCTCCCTATTTGCATGTGGGTTTTGTTGTTGTTTACTTTTATCAGAGACAAAGAGTGATTTTAAAACGTTTTTTCATCAGTGTCTTCCTTTAACTACCTTACTGCTTTTGTCTAATAATACTTTTTAAGTTTTCAAAATTTTCCAATATCAAAGTACATAGCTGACAAAGAAACCCTGTCTCGAAAAACCAAAAAAAAAAAAAAAAAGTACATAGCTGAATTAAAAAAAAAAACTAGAAGAAAATACACAGGGTAGTGGAGGGGGCCCCATGGGTAAAGGCACTTGCAGACAACCCTGATAATCGGAGTTCAGCCCCTGATGGGTGAGAACTGACTTTCAAAAGTTGTCCCCTGACTCCGCATGCCTGCTTCCAGCCGCCCCCCCCCATACACACACCAAAATGCAATAAAAAATTTTAAGAAAGAAAGATAGCAAGAAGGGGAGAATGTCAGTTTTAGTCCTGTCCCAAAGTTAAACATTGTTTTTCTAACCCTTTCTATGCTTGGGCTTTGGAAATACAAAAGAAGAGCTCACTAGACATGTGTGAGTCTGTATGTTGTTAAACAGATGACTTTAAGTTACTTTCATAGTGTGCAGTATCTAATCAGGACGCTGAGGGCTCCTTTTCTTATTTATTGTGCTAGGAAGTAGCACAATAAATACACCTGGCATGGTGGAGCATCATAATTCCAGCACTCAGGAGACTGAAGCAGGAGGATTGTGAGTTCCAGGAAGTCTGTTATACACAGCAAGACCCTGTCAGAAAAGGAAAAAGAAATAACCACAGGAATCCCTTATTCCTACTGACATCTGGAGCTTCCACACGCTGAGCTAGGGGTAGCTACATATGGCTCAGGTTTCTAGTTTCTGAACTTGAGTCCCTAAGACCAAGGATAAGCCATGTGGTTCTTCACATCAGAGGACCCAGAGCACTTCTGATGTTTGTACCAGGTTTCCTGCAGGAAGGGAATGCCAATAAGGAAATACAATGATTTAATCCAACAGCTCTATTCAATATGCATCCCAGAACCTGTGTTTAATCTTTCAGCACAGGAAACAACAGTCTCAAGGAAGTAATTGAACTGCGCTTGGATTGGGTTTTGGTTCAGCTTCTCAAACCAGCTTCCTTCCTGACTTAACTTTATGCTCCCTCCCTCGTGGAAGGTTTTTTTGTTTTTTGTTTTTCTGAGAAACTTTTTATTTTCCATCCACCTTCTTTCCATTTATGCTTAAGTGTTTGCAGAACAGCTGCTACAGATCTGTTCCATTCCAACTCATTCAGTGGCCTGAGCAGTGAGAGTTACAGAGCAGTTCCCAGTAGCTACCTTGGCACTCCAGTTTTCAGTGAAGAGGCTCAGTTGCCTCCTACATGTCTTCAGATCAGTTTGTCACCCCAGGCTGAGTGACAGTGAACCCAGGAGATGGCACAGACCCTGACCTTCCTCCATGGTCACAGCCTTTTCAACAGTCCCGTCCACTTCCTTCATCACTTTAGGTCAGCCATCATTCACATCATCACATTATCGGCGGGAGCTCTCCTGCTGCATGAAATGGCTGTGTTCACATTGCAGAGGAGAATCTGCGTATATGGGATGTCTCTGTGGGGGGTTGCTGGCCAGTCGTGGAACCAGTCACCACTAGAAGACAAGAAGACTCCTGCAAAGCAGCTTGAAACAGGTTAATGAAGGGCCTAGGAATGACGCAACCAGCACTGGGAATGGCTCCTGGCGGTGGCAGCAGTAACTTTCAGTAAAGCTCACTGGCCAGTGTTCCTAGAGGAGATGACCCTGACATCAGCAGTGCTCTCCATGGCAACAACGGTTTGAGCTCCCAGCAGCAGCTTCTCCCAGGTCCTATTCTGATTTATGATGTGGATTTCACCACTTTCTTTTGTCCATGAGGCTGCTGTGTCTGGAAACCACTGCAGGTGCCACCTACGTGGGTCCCTGCTTCGAGGAATTCTTCCTCCTTGGTTTGCAGGATTTCAAGATCCCTGAGCATGGTAAGAAAGTTTTCCTTAAGTTACAGACCACAATTGAGACCAATAGCATAAGAGCCCTTCCTGGGTCATCTGCAAAATGAAACATGAAACTGCAGGGGAAGAGACGCTCTTACTGGTTTCTAGTGGGTAACAAGCAGAGATGCTGATAAACATCCTACAAAGACAGGCTATCACTCATAGGAAGGAATTTTTGCAGTACAAAATATCAACAGTGTCATTGTTTAAGAAAAGAATAGCTTTAGAAAACTCAAATGGATATTGACCTTTCCTGAGTTGTTAAAAATCAAGGATCAAAAATAATTGGCCTGCACTCTGAAGTTACATCATATCTTGTTTATAATATTTTGGGAGCCATTACCACTAAAGGTACCATGAAGAACTCTGTAGGGACGTCTTTTAAATGATTATTCCTGTTATGTTTGTGACATTTTGATGAATTTTAATTTTTGTTACAGATGTCAGCATGAGAAGAAAACGTAGAGATGATAACATTCGATAACCTCTTCCCTACTAACCGTAGAAAACTGAAATTCAGAAAAGAAATTGACTTCCCTAAATTGTACCTGATCTGGCACTAGGGTATCAGCTCCTGGTCTAACAGCAAACTGACTAGCCTAACGCCAAACAGAAAGCTTTTCAAAAGTAAGAACACATGGATTTCTTAGGTTAAAAAATAAGGATTTTAAAAAATGTATACATGATTCTTTCAAAATTGTTTATTCTGAAGCATGTTGAACAAATGTGTTACAGTAAAACAGAAGGAATACTCTCCACTTCATTTTTTTCCTCATATAAAATGAAGATAGCTGGGAATGAATGGTGGTGCACTCTTACAGTTCCAGCACTCAAGAGGCTGAGGCAGAAGAATAGTGAGTTCAAAACCAGCCTGGGCTACAAAAGCAAGTCTCAAAAGGAGTTCTGTCAAAGCATTCTTGTGTTTTAAAATCAAAGTACAAAGAAAGGGTTGAAGGGTTTTCAGAATGTGCTTCTGCGGGGATGGTGCTGACAGAAGTAACCTATTAGAAACCTAAATAAGGGAGGTTAGTGAGGGGGAGTTTGTGTTTGATCTGTAAAGACAGCATCTGAGAAGTAAACAGTGACTCTGACAGGGAATAAAGAGGAAGAATCAATGACCGGTAAATGCTGATAGCCATTCATAGATAGTGGCCTTAGATAATGAGCCGTGCGAGAGGGTAAACAAGAGTACAGAGCAGGTCACAGTGGAGAAGAACTTACAGCTGGTCTTAACAATACAAAGGAGACGCATAGAGTAACAGGGATTGAGAACTTTTCTATATACAAAAAGTCTATATACAAAGTAGTGTCTAGGAAGCTTTAATTGTGGAACAGGAAAAATAATTCTTGAAGCTAAATTATACTGGACTTAATAAATAAGACAGAATGTTGTTAAATAAACCCTTTTCTTTAAATTGTAAAACTATTACTTACAATTTAAAGACTAATGTGTATTTTAGAAATATGTCTAACCATTAAACAATATAAAAGTCTATTTAGCTATGCTCTGTTGCATGTATCAAAGGTATGCTTGAAAAGTAACTGCTTAGGACTGGAGAGGTGACTCAGAAGTTAGGAGCACTGAATGCTCTTCCAGAGGACTCTGTTCAATTCCCAGTACCCACATGGCAGCTCACAACTGTCTGTAACTTCAGTTCAAGGAGATCTGAGCTGCTCACATAGACATATATGCAAGCAAAACACCAATGTGAATAAAATAATAATAAATAAATTACTTCTAAAAAGATTTAAAAAAAGAAAAGTAACTGCTTTTAGAATTTCCTAGGTAAATAGTAGACTACCTTAACTATTGAAGATATTTATAGTTGCAGTACTCTGATAGTCCAAATTCAGGGTTAGAATTTGAGGAATTTTTCTTTTTAAGTGTGTGTGTGGCGTTGGTGGCGCACGCCTTTAATCCCAGCACTCGGGAGGCAGAGGCAGACGGATCTCTGTGAGTTCGAGGCCAGGCTGGACCGACAGCCTCGAAAGCAATACAGAGAAACCCTGTCTCGAAAAAAAACAAAAACAAAACAAAAAAAAAAAAGAATAAAACAACAATCTGCTCCCCCATTTATATTAAAAGAAACGAACAGAGGAAGAATGAGGCTGAACAAACTGCTCAGGAAGGTTCAAGTTTACTTCTTTTGCATGACTTTCTTAAAATTATAAATTGTAGCAATTTTATGTAATAGATAAAGTAACTATAAAATAAGTATAATATTCTGAGGTTTTCCAGGGTTGCTCAAATAAAATGGCAATGAACTTTCCTTGCATTTCTTTATTCTTCATACAACTGTTTATAAATACCAAGAGTACTTAATCTTTTTTCCTACCTCTGGCAGTGTTACAGGAAATTAACAGGAGCAGGAGATGTTTAGTATAAAGCCTGGAACAGAGGAGAGTTTAATACGGATAAACTCTCTATCCTGTGCAAGGAAGAGTTTCTAGTGTCACTAGAGTTGGTGGTGCTCTAGAAGAATATACACTCACTAACTTACAGCCTCCGTCTAGTTACCAAAGAAAACACCATCACCTTCCCTCCGCCTCTACTCTCCTTAGCCTTCACTCCGTTTGTCTTTAGTGATGAAACACGATATGAAAAACTAAGATTGTCAAGCTGAGTGTACTAGATCATGTCTGAATCCCAGCAATCCTAAGGCAGAGACAGGAAGACTGCTACAAGTTTTAGGCCAGTCTGAGCTATGCAACAAGATCCAGGACAGGGCCTGGAGAGATGGCTCAGAGGTTAAGAGCACTGACTGTTCTTCCAGAGGTCCTGAGTTCAATTCCTGGCAACCACATGGTGGCTCACAATCACCTTGAATGAGATCTGGTGCCCTCCCTGGAATGCAGGCAGAAGACTGCATACACAACAAATAAATAAAATATTAAAAAAAAAAGATCCAGGACAGCCGAAGATACATAGTAAAACCTTGTCTCAAAACAATAATGGCAAAATAAAATCAGACTCCTTTTAGTTATGTTATGTTATTTTAAATCACACAAGCATAATTTATGAGTTATTGGAAGAATTTTGTTTGGTTTGGTCTGGTTTGTTTGTTTGTTTTTTAGAAATGGTTTCTCTGTTTAACAGTCCTGACTGTCATGGGACTTTGTAGACCAGGCTGACTTCAAACTCACTGAAATCCACATGCCTCTGCCTCCCAAGTGTTAGGATTAAAGGTGTGTGCCCCCACCACCCAGCCTCAAAGTACCTTTCAATCCAAGTGAAAGTAGAAATATCACAGTCTCTTTTAAGCCATGTGAAAACAAAGTCACAAGTACTGAAATGACAAGTCCCAATCCCGGCACACACAAGGCCACAAATGCAGATACAGTACACTGACAAAAGGTGGCAGCAGTTGACCATTGAGCCTTTCTCCACAGTCCTAGTCTATTGTGACTTGCAGAACTGCAAAATCCCAAATCAAAGGGGACTAAACCTTCTACCAGGAAATCTCATGAGCACTTAAAGTCATCACTGACTGCCAAGATGGTGAGCACCTGGGATGTGGCAGCTGCTATGTCAAATGATAATGAAAAGGGGCAACATGACATGAAATTAACCTGAGACATCTAAGGTTTTACTTGTTGGAGTTGTGAAGGCTGTGACAGAAATGAAGCTGGGTTCTATGCTGAAAATTAGGATATTCGTCATCCATAAGAACACTGGTCCATACGCACAAGCTGTTCAGAATCTCTCACATAATAAGTACTAAATTTAATATTTTAAAAGAAATACAATTTACATTTGGTTTATCTAAAGAGCATTATAATGGGAAATACATTTTTTTGTTGTTATAGTTGTATGTGTATACACCTGTGAAATACTGGCTATAAAAGATTTTGGGATTGATCTGCCAATTTTTCACAGCAACATGAAATGGAGTTCCTATTCTGTATCCTATTGTTAATATGAAAGACTAGTAAGAAAGACACCTATATTAAAATGTCTGCTTTGTGGCATTACTAAAATGCTTAATGTCTACAACTCATTTATTAAGAAATTATACCTACCACAAGATTTGAGAATCAAAGAAATAACTGACACATAGCACATTCTTAATAATTGAAAGCTATTGTTGTTATAGTTTTTAAGTATTTTCCCATTCTCTGTAATTTTTCATTTAAGTTCCTGGCCAAAAAAAAAAAAAGTATTACTAGAGAAAATGGCCTGGAGCTTCCTTAACGTTCTTGCAAATACTGCACATGAAAATATAACAAACCTTTACGGGAGGATAGGCAGGAGACAGAGCTCAGTAAGAGCACTGGCTGCTCTTGCAGAAGGACTTGGTTCCCAGCACCCACATGGTCTCTAACAATGTCTGGAACTCCAGTTCCAGAGGATCTGGTACTGTTCGAGATTTTGTGGGCACTATGCATGCATGTGGTTTATAGAAGTACCATACATGCAGGCAAAACACCCATATACATAAAATAAAATACAAGCAACATTGGGAAAGGATGGGAAGTTTTACACTATTGTGTACTAAGGCCTTTTGAGGCGTTCTCTGCTTTCCGGTCAAGGGAAGGATCGCATAGGTTTTGCTTAGCTAAGTTTGCTGGAGCCAAAATACTTTATTTCTTGATGCTACCCAGTCTTGAATTGGTATCCACAGCGCAAACTAAATCTGTTGTTTCTTAATTCCTATTGGTATTACTTTGTTTAGAGGCTCAGAATGCTGTACACTTTTTGATTGATGGTTGATTAGAAGGGTCTGTCCCAAGAACAGCTTACAAAAGATTCTGGACTCGATTTCCAAATACTCCCGTAGGCGACACAGGAGACACAGTGCCTACCAGCCTACTCGAATTAGACAGGCTTCTCTTTTCCCTTCCAGACCGTCTACTCTTGGACTGGACAGAGGTGGAGGGGAGGCGGAATGTAAAGAAAGCTCTTGCTAACTGCTCCCAAATGCACGTAACATTGGAATTAAAAGTTGTGCGAGCCTCACTATCTTACGCACTCAGCTTGAGCGAGGGTCGTTTCATTAGATTGCATGTCCTCAGTGCCTCAACCGGGACATGACTCAACGTTATGAACATATGAAAATGACACAGGAAGGAGGGCACTATACTAGTTTATAAGATAACCACGGCATCCCAAATAGCTGCTTTAGAAATACATGATCTGTGATACAGTAAGACGAGTGCCACGTGCCAAGTACTATCGCTTTCAGTTTCCCTTAATACTAAGCGAAGTCGGTTTTGGAAACTAGGTTGCCAAATTAGTTGACACCACTGAGGTGGGGCGGCTAGCTAGCGTGTGAGAACCTGTAGGCCCTGAACCCAGGCTTGTCAACCACACACGAAGGGGCCATAGATTCAGCAAAACCCGGTCAGCAGCTTCCACGGACAGCTTCAGGCAGTTCCTAACTGGAACGCACTGTCTGGTTCACCGAGAACAGCCAGTGTACCCACCCACCCCGCCCTAAGTCACAGCAGGAAAGCCAAAGGGAAAACGTGGCTGTTGCGCATGCTCACAAGGCCCTCCGCGCTCCCACCCGAGCCCTTTGACGCCCCCGCAGCAACTTTTCCCAGATGACTGTGGACCGCTTCCCCGCCCACTGTGAAGCCAAACTGGCGGATGCCAGTTCCCTCAGCGACCCTTCCTTTCCTCCGGCCTTTCCCGCTCGCAAGGGCCCGCCGCATCCCTTCCGCTTCTCAGGGTTTTGCCAGTCGTCAACATGGCCGCAGACTCCCGGAGGCGGAGGCTTTTCATTGGCCGAGGTCTCTCACGGCCCCGCCCACTTCCTTCCTCTGGGCTGCGCTGGCTCTGGCCTCCGCTACGCATGCGCGGCGGGGGCGGGCCGGGATGCGGGCGGGTCTTCCGTGTGCCGCCGTCGCTGCTTCGGCCGCGCTGTCCCTGCGGCTCTGGAGCTGCGCTGCCGGCGTTGGCGGCGCGAGGGAAGGGAGGGGACCGGCGGGGCTTGTGTGCGCTCGCGAGGGGCGCCGCGGTGCCAGCAGTTCCCCTCGCGCGGGGCGGGCGGCCAGGGTGAGCAGCAGTCGGCGAGGCCTTGGACGGCGCCATGTCGGCGGGCGGCCCATGCCCGGCGGGAGCCGGCGGCGGCCCAGGGGGCGCCTCCTGCCCTGTGGGGGTCTCCCCTGGCGGGGTGTCCATGTTCCGGTGGCTGGAGGTGCTGGAGAAGGAGTTCGACAAGGCCTTCGTGGATGTGGATCTGCTTCTGGGGGAGATCGATCCCGACCAGGCGGACATCACTTACGAGGGGCGGCAGAAGATGACCAGCCTTAGCTCCTGCTTTGCGCAGCTTTGCCACAAAGCCCAGACTGTGTCCCAGATCAACCACAAGCTAGAGGTGAGCCTCGGGGGCTGGCAGTAATGGCATTCAACCCCAGGCTGTCCGAGGGCGTTAGATCCCATTTTACGCACCAGGAAAACGACCCTATAAAACTGTCCACTGGGGCACCTCTCAGCTTCGAATGTGATAAGCAAAGGAATGAGGAGCGGGTGGGGGAGGACAAGGATGGAGACCGACGTGTGGGTCTCCCGGTTCTGTCATCCACCTCCCAGCATCTCACTTAGGAGGGACCACTATCTGCCCTGTGAGTGTTACATTACAGACAAAACCAAGATCCTCTGTCGGGGAATACTACCTCAGCCCTCCTTTGGACGTGTGAGTTTTGCAGATCTGCGTTGATGATAAGCTAGATTGATATATTTTCGGACAGATGCAGCTCTGATTATTTTCATCGAATAGCCCAGATCATCGTCCGTGGCTGTACAGAGAGACATGCATGAACTTTAAGGGAAAGTTCTTAGGGAAATGTAATGGAGTACATGCTACTACGGTCCTTCTCGGTTTACATTCACGCTTCGTCCTTAAATTACAGGCAAATATGTCTTCAGAGCTCACTGCCAATATTCAAGGAACTTCTAACATGGGAGGTGTACGTGTCTGTACTTTACAGTAGTTCCCAAATGGTAGACATTTTAGAGTATGTGAAGACAACCTTTTGCCTTGGTTTCTAATCAAAGGGTGGGGGAAGACTCCAAAACAAAACTCCACACCTCCCATTTTGTGTGGGAAATCAAATGAGGGCAGTATTACAAGATTGAGAAATCATGGTGTGTTAACATTATGTGGAAAGTACTTTAGAAATAGACAATTTAAATGGAGAATGGGTCTTTCATTTTAAGGATGATTTAAAAAAAAGTGAGAGTCTGTGATGTGTGAAGTTCTTTGTGCCTTAGCTTTCCAAAGAGCTTCTCATTACTGCTAACTGTGACAATGATAGTGCCCATTGTGTCCAGATTAATGTGTGTGCCAGATTGGTTTCCTGTCCTTCATAGTGGTCATCAGTCTTCCAGATTAGTTAACCATGAAAAACATGGTGCCACTAATATTTGATAGCATCTATTTACGTATTTAGGATTTCATGGTTTCTTTTTGAAAGGGTTGGGATGAAAGTGTTTATATAAGTATTAAGTATAGTTGGGCAGTGGTGGTGTCTGCCTCTAATTCCAGAATTTGGGAGGCCAGCCTGGTCTACAAAGCAAGTTCCAGGACAGCCAGGGCTGTTACACAGAGAAACCCGAGTAAAAACAAAATAAACAAACAACAACAACAACAAAACAATGAAAAGTACAAACAAACAAGAAGTATTAAGTATAGTTAAGTGAAAATGTCTCTTGATTTTCTTTTTATAAATGGTAATTTCTAGAAGCTGAGTTTTCAGGTAGTAGTAAATTGCATTTGATGGTTTTTAAAATAGTATTTTAGCTTTAAAGATCAAAAATGGGTAGCTGTTATCACATGAGAAATTACATACCATTTACATCTTTAGCCATATCCTGGAGATAACGGTTTTTAAAGAATAAAACAGTTTCTAGTATTTTTTAATGACCTAAGGAAGCTATAAAATCTAATTTAGAAAAAAAAAAGAATTTTTCTATGAATAGTAGGTGCTCATCTTTAAAATCCTTAAATAATTTAAAGGAATATTTCTTAATAGATCATGTGTGTAATAACTTATGCATGTTCTCCTTTTTTCAAAAATTATACATGCGTATTCTAAGTCTTATGTACTGTCTTAGGAAGTAGCATTATTTCTTAAAATAAATGCTTAGATTGGGTGTGTTATCAAATGCCTTTAATACCAGTACCTGGGAGGCAGAGGCAGGCAGGTCTCTATGAGTTGAAGGCCAGCTTGATCTACAAAGCAAATTCCAGGATAGCCTCTATATAGCAGATGTCTTGGAAAAGAGAGAGAGGGAGAGGCAGGCTAGCATATTACAATGTTGAGTGTGTTTTTCAGAGTGTATGCAACTCTTGATCCAGAGATACACGTGAGGGAGATTATTTGATTTTTGTTGTTTATGTGTACTAGCAACTATACATGATTTATCTGTGTTAATTTTTACACATAGACACGTCTGTAGTTTACAAGGAATAGTTGTGTACTGCTGTGAAAAGACCTATTGTTAGCCACACCATCCCAAGTAGACCTAGTATGCCACAGACAGAGTTTCAGGGGATGCTCTATAAACTGTTGACGATCTCCTGAGATTCTCAGTATTGAAATCTTATAAGAAATTCTGATGCTTTCTTACTCTGTTTTGATTATGTCCCTGTAAGCAAATGCACTTGTTGTTTTAACTATTCTATGTGGATGTTAAATAATTTGAAGCTGCTTATTGTTCGTGTAACAGATGTACACCAAGTTTAGTGGTTTTAAAGATTAATATTAAACCATCTTATAATAAATTGTTTTTATATTCTCAAGACACATATAACTCTAATGTGGGTAATTTATAATCTGTAACCCCGGTACTTAGGTGGTGGAGGCAGTAGGATCAGAAGTTTAAGGCTAGCCTGGGCTACATGAAACCCTGTCTCAAAAAAAAAAATCTCAAAAGATAAAACAAGCAAACAAGCTATGTAAATTGGTCTTCTGTATCCTTCCAAATTACCACTTTTATCCACTCCTTGTGTTTTTAGGTAATACTATACTTCACATTAATCCAATGGTTAGAAAAACAGTTTTACTGAAAAAAAATCATAAGTTCCCTTCTAAATTAAATATAAATACCATCCACAAAGCTTTTTGCTGTAAGTTATATTTTGCAAAATACGTATAGAGAATTGGTGACTGAAAAAAATTATACTATTCTGAGGTGGTACCATTTCAAATTAAATCTCTCAAACTTCCTGCGCCTGAGAGTTCCTGCTGTAGTGGGTTGCTTGATTGAGGCCCAGCTAGAGTCATTCAAGAGTATGATATCAGCAGCAATGGTAATAACAATGATAACAATACACCTAGGCTGTGCTTGGTGGCCCTTGTCTATAATCCTAGCTCTATGAAGGCAGAGGGAGGAGGATCAAGGGCATTTTCAGCTACATTGAATTCAGGGCCATCCTGGGCCACATGACACCCTCTTTCCAAAAATCAAAAATTATACCTTCTATGACATGTCTTTCTTTCCCAGTAGCTGAACTAGTTAGTGTCTCTTTAAAGTGATTTACTGTTCAAATCATTAGTGTGTAAGCATTTTGACGGATGGGATAGGATGGATGAGGATTCTGGCACTGGAATACTGAGTGTTACAGCTCAGATGGAAAGGTATTCTGGCAGTCAGGAGCCAGGTAATACCACAGGTCACAGTAAGCGTAGCAGCTTATAGCCCTGCTTCAGGGAAAGGCTTCCCCAGTGTAAGCAAAGTTGTTACAGTTCGGCTCCAGTCCAGAATGTAATAACTTCTCTTGCCAGGGAAGGTTTCCCCAGTGAAAAGTCTTATAACCCTGCTCTGCTCTGCTCCACCCAGGGTCGTCTCTGCTCCAGTGAAAGAAGGTCTCACCCAAATCTCATTCATGAGATTGATTGGGAGGAAAGAATCCAGGAGAGTGGCTGCCTTCTGCCAGGGTAGTAGGGGCAGCCAGGCAGCCCGAACAGCCAGAAGCTGAACAGGCAGAGGGTTTATATAGGGCTTTTTAGGGGCAGACTTTTTCCAGGGAGATTTCCAGGGTGGGGATTGGTCAGATTTCAATCCCTGAGCTCAGAATGGCTAGATCTTCTGCTCAGGGATTGGTTGATTTTCTGCACAGATTTAAAGTCAGATTTGACTCTGGTTTCAGGGCCAAAGTGTGTTTCTTTCACTGGTCCCTTTTAGCCTTTTGGCTCTAATTTTAGGGCCATGGTGTATTTCTTTCACTGACTCTGATTCCAGGGACAAAGTGTGTTTCTTTGGCGCTGGTTTCATGGTCAGTGTGCATTTCTTTGGTTCTGGTTGCAGGGCCAAAGTATATTTCTTTGGCTCTGCTCAGGGTGTTTCTTTAGCTGGACCTTTTTCCTTACAATTAGTAGAGAAGTATTAAGCATTGGTCAGAAGTTGGGTTGACGTTAAGCTGATAATATACTTGTCTTCATGCAGCTTTAAGTTTGTGCTCTTTGGTTTATTGTGTGTATGTGCCTGCTTTTGTGTGTATGCATGCATGCGTGCTCATGTGCATAAAGGACAGAGCTCAGCAGGTATCTTCCTTGTGTTTTGAGAAGGGTCTCTCGCTGATCCTGGAACTTGCTGATTTGGTTAAACTGGTCTGGCCAGCAATGCCCTGGGACACCCTGTCTCCATTTCCCAGTCCTTGGGTTACAGGTGGCCTTCCATGCCTGAGTTTTTACCTGGGTGCCGGGATCTGAACTTTAATCCGCATACGTGTATAGCAGGTATTTTATCAACTGAACCATCTCCCTAGCTCCTTTATTTCTGAAACAGAATCTCTTGACGTCATGGCTGCCTCAACCTCATATCCAAGAATGACCTTGGATCTCTGGCTCCCCCCATCTCCATTTCCCTGAAGAAATTACAGTTAATCTAAGACATAATGGATTAATAGAAGTTAAGCTAAGAGATGCAGAAATATTATCGCACAGGGTACAAAATAGAGAAACTAGGAAGTGGAAAGTATAGTGATGCTCCTAGGCATACAAGAGGTGAGATGCCAAATGAGTTTGTATTGGTAAGTACAAACCAAACTTGCCTTGTTTCATAGGCTGTGCCATAGACTCAGACCTTATTATTACAATAGGAGCAAGCATTTTAAACTAGATGAGTGTCTCAGGTACAAGGTTAGAATAGACTATCCTGACTATAATATGCAGAAATTTGGGAAAATAAACGTGAATGCAAGAAACAATTCTGGAGCTTCAAATTGTCCTTTTAACAATATGATAGCATAAAAAGTATGATAATGTAGATAGGAAAGTATTCAGAACAGGAGAAACTTGAAAGGTAAAATTCAACAGACTCTACAGATGGATTAGAATGAGGGAGAGTTGAGGAATTCAGAATGACTCTATA